CTCATCAATTCTATGATTCACCTCATCTTTCATAGACCCATCCGCTGACACGTCCACTCCCAAATATCTGAATACGTTCACCTCCTCCATACTCTCTCCCTCCAATTGATATTCAATCTTTCATCACCTAATTTTTTGTTATCCTCATAACCTTACTCTTTCCTGTATTCACCTTTAATTTTCTTCTTTTGCACACCCTACCAAATTCATCCACCAATCATCCACCAATATATATATATTATATATATTATATATATATATATATATATATATATATATATATATATATATATATTATAATATATATATATTATATATATATATATATTGTACCCACCAAAAGAGTGGTATTGATCAATAACAACACTGCACTGCACTGCTGTTTTGGCCCACCTCATGGTGAGCAAAAACGCACGACGCTGTAGACCACAATCCCAATGGCGCATCCAGCCAAGCTATATGTTGTACTCCCCATCGAAGGACATACGGTGGTGTGGCCGCCTCTGAGCTAATTTCATTCTACTCCCTGTTTGTGTACTAGCTCAACAAGCAGTATAGTATATTATTATACCCACAGAACAAGTGGTATTGATCAATAACAACACTGCACTAGCCAAGGAGTCGAACCCATGCTGTTTTGGCCCGCCTCATGGTGAGCGAAACCACATGACGCTTTAGATCACTGAACCACACAATCCTTAACAATGGCGCAGCCATCCAAGCTAGATGTTGTACCCGCCATCGAAGGTTGGCTGGATGCGCCATTGTTAAGGATTGGGGGGTCAGGGGTTGAAAAGCGTCATGCTTTTTCGCTCACCACAGGGGGGTCAAAAAAACATGGTTCGACTCCTTGGCTATCAGTTTTGTTATAAATATAATATATATAATATATATTATATAAAATTTTTATATATATATATAGCGCAAGACAACCACGGGGGGGTAATCTTTAGCCAATATTTTCACACCCCCATGCTCTCAGGATTGTGCATGCTCAAGGGCAGCAACAGAGAAATGAGGGAGTTTTTTTTCAGAGTAAGGTAGTTATAACTACATATACAACATAATACAGTAGAATAAGAAAAAAACGCTTTAGTCTATGTTAAATGTTATTTTTCCAGATATTTATTTTATTTTTTACGTAACTATTTAATTCATAACTTATGAAAAATTGGGGACAGACAGACTGCAAAAAATTGAACTAACTGTTGTTAATAGGGTGGGTGTGTAAGACATGCACTGATTACCAAGATTATTCTTGAATCCTTGAATGGCTCTGATGCATGATTTATGTGACTTTCAGTACCCAGCCATACAAATGACATTTTCGTTTCTTAATTTTTTTCGTTATATATATATAATATATATATATATATATATATATATATATAAATATATATATATATATATATATATATATATATATATATATATAGGCACACAATATACTTTAAACATCAGGAAGTAACTTCTTGCATTCTAAGGGGATGTTATGCTACAGGGAAGTTTCTCTGCTAAATTAATATACATATAAATATATATTGAACAATAAATGGATAAACAGTGAATATATATTTTTCACGGACGTTTTAAGAACTTTCATCTTATAATTACCGATGTGGGGACTTCAAAAAATTTGTAAACGCTCAACATACACCAAAAAACCGAGACAATATAGGCAATTTTTACAGGTTCCTATGTATAAGCTTTCTAGTCAGATTTAGCACTGAAGTAGAAACGAGATTTTATTTAACTAGCTCATATATTCCACGATGCTGTGGTTTATCTCGCATTACTAACATCAAGTAACGGGGATAATATGCCATAATTGACGCAGTAGCGTTCTAAACGGTACGTTCCCCGGCACAGGTGGAAACGTTAGGCATGTTGCCTTACACCTACTGCTACTGTACTTCACCTAGCAGTAAGTAGGTACCTGGGTGTTGTGTTGTGAGTGGCATCCTGGGGAAGTGGTAGTATAACCTAACATGGGGCTCGACTTTTAAATGAGCTGAGGTTGTATAACAGTTCTTAGCCTGTAAATTTAGCCGTGTAATTATTATAATCATAACCCATAAGGGTCATAAAGTGTTGTCAGAAGTGTAAAAACTATTAATGTGCCTCTAGAGAGACTTGAATTTGGCAACACTGAGTCAGGGGTTACTGTGCTGTGATGGTAACAATGATACTCAGTGGTAAACAACACACTGGTGCAGCAGCAGCCTGGCTCACCTTCGCACAATAAATGTAGGTGATACTGACTGTTGCAAGATAAATTTGGCATTAAAACAGTTAGTGGAAAATTCGATTATGGATGAATGCGAAAATTAGAAAAGTGGCTGAAAATTAGTATCGTATATAAGACAGTAGAAATATTTATTGCAGCTAACACCATCGTGAAACCATGCAATTGTGAGTCGTTTACGCTGAATTATTTTGTTTTATTAAGACAGATCTTTTTTCATCTATATAGAATGAGGAAGCTCCATATTAGTATTTA